GTTTGGGTGCTGAAGTGTAGAGAAGTGTAGATGTTAGCGCTCAGGCGAGGGGAACGTGGGAGCTCCGAAGTGAGAGCCGGTATCCTCTCAGCCTAGCCGCAGATTCCGTAAACAAGCGTAGGATTACTCAATTTTTTTTATGTCTGGACCAAAGGGTAAAGAATAGATATGCTCCTATTTAGCACAATATAATTTGAACTAATTCATTTTATCCATTCACTATAATTTCTTGAAAAGGAGAATGATGTTTTCTTATATATTGAATATCACATTTGAACTTTCATTAGTATAATTAGTAATTTAATAGTTATTAAAATTACATATTTATTTCAATTGCCTATTAGTGACAGATAAGCAAATTGAACTTCGTTGTTGTAATTAAAATATTGTTTTTCTAAAATCTTAGTTCATAGTTCTAATCTTACTCCCTGTGGGATCGATATCTAGAACTCCATTAGAGCCCTATATTACTTGAGCGATATGTATCCTGCGTTGATAAGTGTAACTTTACAATTATTAAATATTTTATACATTCATATTTATCGAATCTATAACTGTTTTTAACTGTTATTAAGTTTTTGTACAATTGCTGAGGAATTAAATATTTTAGCAGCAGTATTAAATATTTATATTTTTAAGCATATATAAAGTCGCAGTCAAAAACCATCTGACTCTATGAATAGTTTTCAATTTTATGGTCCCCAAACATAACTGTTGATGATAGAAAAAGATTATGAGAGTTTGTACTGAGACAAATGATAGAAAATTTCTTTCATGAGGAAAATATCCAACTAGATATAATGTGGTCATCAATAAAGGAGAAACCATCCGACTCTATAGAGAGTTTTCAATTTGATGGTCCCCAAACATCATTGTTGATGATCGAAAAAGATTATGAGAATTTATATACTAAAACAAATGATAGACATGGTGAATATGTTTAGCCAATTTGGCAGATTTCAGTGATAAAACTCTTATCTTTTTATTAATAATAATATGAAAATACAATTTGGATTACTCGGACAATAATGACATAATAAAACTTGACTTTCAACAAACTCGGACACGATAGACTCGGGAACATGAGAAGAGGATGGTGAAAAGGACACTTGTGTGTTAAGAGAATAACTTTCCTTGAGCAAGTATAGACATTGATGCAATTAAGTGTTGTCTATCACCTGAAATTCACATGAGTACGAATAAAATTTTGCAAAACAATTAAAGTCACGAGTAATCTTACTAATTGAAAGTAAAACCATCACCTGAAATTCACATGAGTACGAATAAAATGTTGCACCACAATTAAAGTGACGGAAACAAGGGACAATTCTCTGTCTTTTGCCTTTGAATCATGGTAGGAGTTGTGTATACAAGGTGAAACTTCCAATGCTAGATGAATCCACACTTTCTCCCATCATGAGCATCTTCCTACTTTCTTCTCTTCTAACTTTAGCAAAGGCTTGCTAGTGATAAGGAGAGATTTAATCCCATAATTCTTGTTTTGACCTCATCTATGTTTTTATTTAGACCCAATAGGAATTTGATTATCCTCTTCTCCATTATTTTTTTTATACAAAATTACATCTTGAAGGCACTTCCATACATAAGTATCATACTTATCTACCGGTAACCAATACTTAGCAAGTGTGTTGAAATATTGAGTCGCACTTAACTCTTCTTATCAAAGTTCATGCAATTTATCTCAATCTCAAACAATTTTGTTGTATTTTTTGTACTGGAATAAGTCTCACAAACTATTTCCCAAATCTCATGTGTTGTATTGTAAAAAAAGCAATTTTTTTCAATCTATGTGCTCATAGAATTAATCAATCAAGACATAACCATATGATCCTAGGTCTTCCATGAGCGATGGTTGAGATCAGTGAACTCAAAAACTATACTCTCCTGTGATATGCTCTTTTTTTCCTATTTCACAAGTATTTTTTTAAGCAACAAAACACCTTAAGGGCAGTTTCATTCATAAGTATCACACATATCTAACTGTAACCAATACTTTGTATGTTGAAGTATCGAATCACACTTAACCCTTATTGTCAGAGTTTGTGCAATTTTATATCAATATCAAACAATTCTACAATATTTAGTATTGGAATAAGTCTCACAAACTGTTTCCCAGATCTCATGTTCTCTTATAAAGCAAGAAAATTTTTCCAATCTTTGTGGTCATAGAATTGATCAATAAAGACATGATCATATGATCCTAAATCTTTCATGAGTGGTGGTTAGAATCAATGAACACAGGAACTATGTGCTCTCTCCTGTGAGGTGTTTATCTTTTTCTTTTCCACAAATATACATAAACACAGATTGGAACCGTTGAAGGAAGCTATGGTCATTGACTTTATGATTTGAGTTTATGCCTTGTGATAAAGTGAGAGTTTCATGGTTGTTTGGGCAGAATTCCTGATCTTTGATTCCAAACTAACCTCCATCTCTACTAGCGAGAAATCTTCATGACATACTTTTACATAAGCCCTATGCGTGTTTAGGGTTGGAAAGAATACTTGGTTGATTGTGTGTAGGAGAAGAGGAACACTTGTGGCTGCTCTACTTGTTTGGGAAGGCAAGAAAACAGCAACGTGTGGTTAATATGTAGGTTGTTGGGGTCGGTGAGAAGGCAAGAACATGGAGGAACGTTTGGGAAGCTGGATGATAACTGCGGTTGAGAGAAAAATCTGGATGGTGCAGCTGCTATGGCGGAAAACAACAAAAACATCCACTAGAGAGAAAATCCAATTGAAGGGAAGATATAACGTCCGCAGCAAAGGAGAAACGTCTGCAGCGAAGAAATAACGTCTGCATGGAAGGAATAGCACCTTTTGAGATCGCCTATAGTGAAGCAGAGGAACGCCTGCATGGAGGCCATTTGGCGGAGGGCACGCAGGGATTGGAGGCTCCAGGGAGGGCCCGCAGAAATAACATCTTAACTGTAGAGATTGGACACCGTATGTATGGAATAATTTTTCCTCTGAAGGAGATATGAAACATAGGATTTGTAACCAAGCTCTAATACCATAAAAAAAGGTGGAGAAAATCGTATACTCTTCTCAAAAATCAAATTACAGCTCTTAAATGGTTAAGCCAAGATTAATTACAACAATTACAACTTATCAAAAAAAAAGTACAACTCAAGAAGGAAAAAAATTTGACATTATAAGAGAATAAAACTACATAGTACATAAAACAAGATTAAAAAGTTTTGTTTAGTTGTCCTTTTATTTTGTGCATTTATATACTTATTCTATTTATTCATTTAGTAGCACATTCATTTTAAAGCTATTTTATTTTTATAAGGTCAACAAGTAACTCATTTATACACTCGATAAAACTCATTTAATTAGAAAATAAATAGCTCAATCATATTTTTCATTAGTTTATTCCATAAGACTCGATTGATAATAAATTAAATAACACAATAACACTAATTTTTATTTCTTCGATAAAGGTCATTTGGATAAAATTAAATTGCTCGATAACACTACTTATTAGACTAATCTGCTTGATTGACTCGGTTATCATCATATGAAACAAATATAAACCGAACTCAAATAGTCGAAATGACGAATGAATTGAGCTTCAACATAAACACAAAAGCTCGATTTGAGCTCGAGCTCGAATTTTATACACAAGCTCAAGCTTGAACACAACCTCTAAAAATTAATTTAAGCTCGAGCCCAAATTTTATAAACATGATCAAGTTTAATATAGCGTTTGCAGCCTTAGAGATCACTCATTTGTAAGAGAAAGAAAAATAGATTATTCAGCAAAAGATCTGACCTTCCACATGCTTCTCCTTGCCTCCAACATCATAAATATCTATTTTATTATATTGACCAAAGGGAAGCTTGCTGTTCCTATAACACCAAGAAACCATTCTTAATATTAGAATACATCTATTTTTCGGAATAGTTTTGATTTATAAAAACAGATCAAGAAAATATTAGTTTTATATATTGCACTAAAATTCTGGATAAAGTCATGCGCATACATGAACCTTTTAATAGATTTAACAATGGCAAGCTCGCAATTGTTGGTCACCGATTAAACAGATCTGATAGGACATCAGGAATAAATTTCATGCATGTATACTAATGGGGATAAGTCAATGGAATTTTCAACAATTTTTTGTTTACAAACATAGATCTTTGTAGAATGATATGCAAGTGTGCATCATACGTTTTACTTGCATATGATAATACTACTATAGAGTTAACAATTGGCACTCACTGTTTTTCTTACTAGACCTTGTCAAAATTAACAAAGCAAAAGAATGATATGACGTATGAATTCAACTCGAACTAGCCTCAAAAAATCAGGCTTCGGGTTGACCCAATTAATTTTTGGGCAGGATTTGGGCCCAAAATCTCAACACATTTAATTTTTTTAGTCGTGTTCAAGTTGACTCGTCAACCCAAAATTTGACCCAAATCTAAGCCATCAACCCGAACTTGGCTCGAAATTAACCTGAATTCAACTTAAATAACTATTATGCATATAATAAATAAGTTATGCGGGTCGGCTTCGATTTAAAGGTAGGACGTGTTTGGTTAAACTTTTTGACCCATTTACTTTTCGGGTCGGGTTCCATTTGACTTTTCATTTCAAATACCCGAGGGAACTGAAGATGGGGAGAGGAAGCGAGGAGTCTGACAACCGAAGAAGGAGAGAGGAAGTAAGGAGTCAGAAAGCCGAACAAAGAGGAGAGGAAGCGAGGGGGTCAAAATTCAATCAAGTGAAGTTTGCCCTATATATTGTCCAAATCGACTTACCTGAAGGTCGAGTGGCTAAGGAACTCTCGTGCGTTGTTGATTAGGAAAGGTAGACGACGATAATAATCGAAGCTGAAGGAGGTGACATCTTCAAGTATTTTGGCTTCGTCGAGCTAGAAGAAGTTTGAGCAGCTCTGAGATGCAAGGAACGGTGGAGCCCTAAGCCGAAGGAGTAGGAGGTGACGTCAGAAGAAGGTAGTGTGTGAAAGCTCTCCTGTGTGCAAGAGTTTTATCGTGCAAAGAGACGACAGATATTGACTACTTATATGTGCATGATTGACTATGATGAAGTCACTCCTTTATGATACTAATAAGTGAGCGCTAAGATACTCATGCACGTAAATAAAAAAGGATATTGATATTGAAGTACCTTAATTGACATAATTTTTAGATAATGCTCTTATGACGGTTGTTCATATAAAGAATGATATAGATATATTATTGATAGATTAAAATTTATTGAATAACATCACATTCTTAAAATATCAAATGTTTATATTGATTTATTAAAAACTAAACTAACATGCATATTATTTTTCTAATTGTATTACTGTAGTTTAAAAGTGTGAGTATTCACTAGCATTGATTAATTCACAGTTATTTTAAACTAACTTTTCATGCACAATTAATTTATTAAAAAAGAGAAATAAAAAAAAACAATATTAATAGAAGATGCTGACAATCAATAATAAAGTAAATTTAATTATATTGTTTTAATTTAATTTCTTTAGTGACATTTTCAATTGTCAAATTTTATTGTAAATGAATATAAAAAATTTAATTCTCACAGTCCGATCGTCTGAACCTGTCATGATTGATTCCAAGCCTCGGGCCGGGTCTTGACATTTCAGTCAAACACTTTCAAGTCGGGTCAATTTAGTTCATAATTGAACCCGATTTTAATTGTTGAATCATGTTCAAGTTGCTCCATCAACCCACAATTGACCGTTAACCTGAAATTAGCCGGAATCTGACCCACTAACTCAAATTTGGTGCAAATAACTATTATGCATATATTAAAGGGATTATGCAAGTTGGGTTCAGGTCAATCGGGCTAAAGGCATATCGTGTACGGGTTAGACCATTTGACATATTAATGTTTGAATCGGAATCGGATTTGGATCAAGTAATCTTCAGACGGGCCTATTAGGTTCAGACACTAACCTGACCTATAAACCTGATTTCACACAATTACCTCTATCATAGCATTTAATAATCTATTCATTCGTGCAAAGGCTCATCATACATTTTTTTTATCTTAATTAAAAGAATACCACATGGAAGGTACAATCTTCTCATCCATACCTCTTTATATGGGAAAGTTGTGTGCCAAAGTACAATCTTGATAGAAACAATATTTGAATATAAGATTTTGGCAACATGTTTCAAGGTCTTTACAGACTAGGGCTAACTGAGACCCACTCAACCATTCCACCTTACAAAAGAAAAAATGATGTCGACTATCATGATGGTCTATCACTTCTAACATACACTCTCATGCTTGAAATGAATAGTAATATCTACTTATCAATGAGCCTTTTTCATGAATGAAGAAACAAACACTTAAATTAGCTCAAATAAATTAACCTTGCTAGTTTTCTTTCACAAATATCTAGACTTCTTATATAATTACCTGTGACATCCACATGACAAATTACCACAGTCGTTCTCATGGCAAGTCTTTTCGAAGCATTCACTAAGTGAAGGTCTTCTACTGATCTCTCTCTTAGCCAAATGTCCATATGATTCACACTGCAGAGTTAACCAAAAAATAGATATTAAACAATTGTTCATACCAACCTAATCTTCCCTATCACATATAAAAAACACCATCTTAACTTTTAAAAAGTGAAATACACCTTTTCGTGTACATGTAAGTTGATATGTTTGTAAAAATTGAAGTTTAGATGTTACATATGTAAATACATAAGAATTGAGTGGTATGTGTGTAAATTTTCCTTTTTAAAATGAAAAAAATCGGCACATGCAAAGCATTTACTTGTTAACAGTACCGTTACCATCCAATGGTGAACAGCTGAGGTCTCTGCTTCATCATTAAAGGTGTGCTGATCACTAATGTTGTATCCATTTGGTGGTTTCTGAAGAGATGAGAAAACGATAAACAAGTTATTAATAATTATAAATAGAAGGATAATGGTGGTTTAAGCAAATTCAAAAATATTTTTTATTGATTTTAGTTTATAGTCTAATTCATTAATTAATTAGTTTAATTAATTATATAGTAATTAAAACTAAGATATTATATTATGATTATATGAAATTTATAATGGTATTTACTTGAGTCATTTGATCAAGCCATATTAGTATCACACCAATTTTTAATCAAATAATTGCAGCTTTTACAAATATTTGAGAAATCATTTTAACACAATTTTACAATAATCCATCCGTCCAACCCACAAACTCTACACAATGCAAAATACCAATGACAAAAAGCAATTTTTCTCTATCTCGCGACATCAACAACTTCAAAGCACATGCACTTTATTGAAATTAATTCATAGAATAGATTTGAGTAAAAGCTTAACCAAATGAACCTTAGGCTCCTTGTGGCAAAACTTACCACGGCCCGTTTTGACTTTCTTAAATACATAGAAACAATATTAGAATGCCCAAACAAAAACTGATTAAAAGAAAGTCCAATTAAATTAAACCCAAAAATTAATTTTCTTAGAATAATGGTTCTGGTAGCTTCCCATGAGTTGCTTTTATGAATTTTCTATTTTTTTATCAAAATAATTAATTAATTCAGTAACTATAAACACATTAAATTTGGAATATTATATTTTAATTGTATGCTATTACTGACGCGAAGCTACGGAGGGGCTGAATCGATTTTTTCGGTGCGCGTAGGGGGGGGGGGGGGGGGGGGACACCGC